ATTGTGAAACCATTAGAAGAGCTGGTTGATGAAGACAAAAACCCTGCACATTATGGTGAATACAAATGGGGTGAATACTTTGTGTCAAGGAGGACCAGCAATTTCATGAAGTTGGACAAGCCTGTGATTGAGGTTGCAGACTTCAAAAAATCCAAATAAGCTACTCTCATTGTGGCAAATTTGCAATGCTTTGTGCCCTTGCTTGCTCTTGCTTTCCTTTCTGTCTTTCTAGTACTATGCTCTATCTCTAATGTTTGTTCGAATAAGTGGCTTTTGTTCCACAAACTACGTACCTGATAACGCCCAGCTATTATTCAAGTGTTATGTAGTATGGTTTGTGTCATCCTATTGCATTAAGGTTGATATGTTTGCTGTACTTATAATCTCCTTATCGTTTCATCTTCTGGTTATACGTAAGCATCTCTCTCTCACGTACACAAGATGCATCTCTCTCCTCTCTGTTATATAGGGCTGCAATGGTTGAGATTGAACCACATACATCCAATGGTTCAAAAGAGTTTCACATTTTATTTTTTATTTTTGTTTATAAATGATACTTGTTGAGAATTTAGATATGAATTTATTTCTATACGGAGAACCTAATTAAAAGAATGAAAAATATTTTGAACAAAAAATGACCAACATACACTCTAAAATAATTTAAGGGTGTTTTAAACACTTAGCACATAGAAATACATCAACAAATAAAATTTTGAATGAATATTATTCTTAAATAAAAATAAAATATGGAATACGAAACTCTGTTATGCCCATTGGATGTGGCTATGTTTAATCTAAACCATTGGTCATCTATATTATGTGGAGGGGAGGCTTTCTCGTATATCTAATGTGTTGCAAGATGCACTAATTGCAGTATTTTCAAAAAGTTTTTCACATCCATGCACATTCAGATTAATACAATGATTTTATAGTATCAAAACAACCTTCTTGATTGAACTATTAAATGAAGTTTTTTCCAATAAATGAAAAGAGTGTACATTTAAAAATTCATGTCAAACAAATGTCTTTAACAAGGTTTTTGAATATGATTGTATTATACTACTATACAACCGTTGCATGAAATCATTCACATATACTCCTGCTAGATAACACAAGTCCTTTCACGCCCTTCCACCATTTATATTATGCGAGATACACTACTTCTAGTATTTTCAAAAAATTTTCAATCCTTGTACTTGGAGGAGGTTAAGATTATGATTTTCTAGTATGAAAACAATCTTGTCGACTAAAATATTTGATGAAGTTTTTCCTTATAAATGGACTTGAAAATCACAATATTTTTTTAATGGGTAATTCAATGAGGATGACGAGCCCTTACACATTTTTTAAATCGTTAGCAATTCTTACCGTGAAAATAGAAACCTAAACTTTTAACTGGTCACAAGTGGTGCTACCCCCTAAACCTAAAACTCTTCTTAAAACAATTTTTTAATCACACTCAGCTGACTCATGCATGCTGCGCATTGATCACACCCGTGCTGCTCTACGCGTCTAGCTCATATTTCTTTTTTTGGCGTTAGTTTATATCACCATGTGGGAGCACGCAATTCCACGGGACAAGATTTTTTGAAACTCGAAATGTATCTCTTCTCACTATGAGCCATGCCCTTCCCCTGGTGCTGGAAAAGGGGTGGCACGCTGATATCAGTGCTCTCACTATGCTGGCCCCCGGCCAGCCCAATGGGCCGGAGATCAAGGGCCAGGACAATGAGTGGATCAAGGCCAAGTCCATTCCCCACTCCTTTACTATCCAGATTGGTGACCTCATGGAGGTATCTATTGCTATTGTATCAATCAAGATATCATATTTGCTTCTCTCTCTAAATACTCATAAAAATATTTGTTTCTCTCTCTAACAGGGGTACACGAACGGGCTGTACAACAGTGTAGAGAACAGGGTGGTGGTGAGTGGAGAGAAGGAGATGTATTTAGTAGCGCTGGCGTTTGTGTCGGCCATCGAGGCGACTGTGGAGCCGTTGCCTGATCTTGTTAACGAGCAGAACCCAACCAAGTACGAGACTTTCAACTATGGCAAGTTTTATAGGGTGAGGAGGCTCAGCAACTGTGTGAAATTGGCGAGTGAGAATGACATTGTCACCATTCTCACCTTCAAGAAGCCTACTACTCAAACTCCCACTGCTGCTACTACTGCTACTGTTGCTGTGTAAATCTTTTCACCTCAAACCACCCTAGTTTCTCCCTCTATCTCTTAAAATTTGCTTTAAAGATTTGAGCCTTCTTTCTCTCTCTTAATGTTGTCATTATGTCTCTTAATGTTGTGCTTATGTCTCTTATTGCTGTATCACTCCTGTAATATGTACGCGTAATCTGGATGTTGAGAAATGAGTTTGGGTAGCAATACATGAGCTTTCCGATTACACTTCTAGTCTGCAGTACTTTGTGAGGAGCAAAACTCTCTCTCTCTCTTTGAGCTCTCAATTTTCTTCTTATTCGCAGTCAAAGTTCCCTTATTCAATTTATTGGGAAATGTGATCTTGGCCTATGTGGGTAATCGATTGATATAGCAATATATGGTTGGAATCACAACTTCATCATTGAAAACAAACGTTTTGTTGGCCTAGTATTTAGTGGCAATTATTGGACTTTCCTTTGAGATTAATTTATGAGAACTACTGCACGTTTTGTTGGCCTAGTATTTAGTGGCAATTATTGGACTTTCCTTTGAGATTAATTTATGAGAACTACTGCTTTTTATTGTTAGGTTTGTTGTGGAAAAATTTATTCTAAAATTCAAAGATGCGGTCCAAAATTTTCCATTATTTAGATGGACGAGCACCAATAATTCGTCTTGCCATGCCGACCAAAGACCATAGAAGTCCAAAGTTAGCATTCAATTGGAATCTCAATGCACTAAGTAGTATTATTTTACAATTGTTTTTAGCAACATTTTACAATTCTTGGCATGATGCTATGGTATATTTTGATGGGGGAACACATCCTCTCTATTTCTTGTTAAATTTATTTATTTTTGATGCGGATGGTAGCGTCCACAAGCACCCTTCGGTTGCATTGAAAATCTAGTCTCATTTTCTTTTATTTAAAAATCATCTTAATCGAAAATTCAAAGTGTAAATACATTTTTATATAGCAAACCAAATAAAAATAACAAAAAATATTCCACCAGACGCATTTATTAGGCTACTCTAGTCATTGTGTTGCTGAAGATATTATTTAATTATTTTTATTTGGTGTGCTATATTAAAATACATCTGCAACCTAAATTTTAGATTAAGATAATTTTTTAAAAAATAAAAATAAAAATATTTTATGGGCATTGTATATACCCTTGTTCAAACTCAACCAATGGAAGGATGCTTGCGTACCCTTCCTTCTATATAACACACCAAATAAAAATAATAAAACATATTCTAAACATGTCCAAAAGATTTCTTTTGTGGGTACTCTGGTTATTGTCTTGCTCAAAATATTATTAAATTATTTTTGTTTGGTGTGCTGTATTAAAATACATTTGCAACTCAAATTTTAGATAAAAAAGTTTTTTTTAAAAAAATAAAAATAAATTTATTTTATGGCAGTTGGACATAGCCTTGTTCAAACTATAGTTACCGGGCATCATCCAACTAGGGTGGCGCTCTTGCTCTGGAATCCAGTTCCGGCACTTTGTGTCCCGGATCTCAACCAAAACCGTTCTAATTTTTTTAGGGTCTCACTTCTATTTATATGATTCTCGATCCCATTCATAACGAAACTTGATCTCATAATCCCACAAATCGCGATCTCAATTTCTCACGGAACACGTTCCTTTAAATTGTAGATCTCGTGCCTTCACTCACGTGTGTGTTAGAATATGGGTTAACACCGAACAAAACGTTTGTGCTACTGATGGAGTAAATTGTTGTTTAGTGCCATCAAGTAGTAACCTGAGTTACTCTTCTATAATGAAATATAAAATTAGGTTTATTGTTCATTAGAGATTAAGACGAAAAGAATAAAATTATTGGAAACATATGGTTTATTTAGTTTTTTACATAATATGGTCGTGCGGGTTCACAGAAATATATGTTTTTTAAAAATTGATAGATCAAGTTTACATTTAATGCATGTGCATATAATGATAAATTTTTATTATTTAAATATTATCTCATTTATTTTTTATTTTTAAGATGTGCATAAATGCACATGTAATAATCAAAATTTTAATTATTAAAATATTGGATGCCCTCATTAATATGTGTGTTTTAGAATATTGAGATATTATTTTTTTCAAGTGCAGAAAGAATGTAATTTGGAAAAGCTCGTTGTTGAGGTTTTCTATTGGTTGAAGATGTTATATACTAGGGTCCTAAATTATAGGTATACTGGCGTTTACATGAGGTAGTAAATAGACAATATACTCTTGCGATAGCATGAAATCTTTTAGCTCTATCATTAAGGAAAAAGAAAACTTTGTATGGTAAATTGTGGTCCTGCACTATTGGGAAATGTTGACGGAGCCTATTGTGGCTATAATATAGCATTAATAGGACAACGTTTATATAGTGCCGAGCCTATAAACAATCAAATTAGAGCTTACATCAAATATTTCACTAAAAGAGGTTGTTTTGATGCGTAAATATCCTCAAATTGATCATCTCGACATCAAAATGTCAGAAGAGGGAAAAATATTTCAAGTTTTGGAAATGTACGTATTTTTTAGTCCATTGCCACCCTTAGTTTTGAGGTGAGGCTCTACTTGTTTTGAAAGAGTTCACATGTCCTACAAAACAATGAAAAACGTCCATATAAGAGTGAGGCTCTAAACAATCAAATTAAGACACACCTCAAAAATTTCACTAGTAGATGTTGTTTTGATGCCAAATATCCTCAAATTGACCATCTCGACCTCAAGATGCATGGATATGGGAAATAATGGATTTCAAGTTTTGGAAATAATTCATTTTGTAATGACTTTCAATTTTCTATATTTTCAAGGTTTCATAGATCTGTTCGATCTACACTATTTTTGAAGCTTCAAATTTAATAATTAAAAATAAAAATAAATTTAAAAGTTATCACAAAAACTTTTAGTAATGAAATTACATTCATCGATACTATTTGAAAGTTTGCATTACTTTTAATTTTTAGAAACTCGATCTTACACAAACCGCACCCATAACATTTTCCCCTATAAAATTTAGCTTGGACATGACTTGTAGGTAAATGGGATTTGTGCCAGTCCCATGACCTGGCCCAGGCCCCCAAGCCGTTCATCTTTTTTATCTTTAAGTATTTTTTTGGGTAATTCAAAGAAGATAAGCCCTACCCCATTTTTCACGTAAATTAGGAGCTAGCTAGGGGTGGTCTCCCCATTTTTCACGTAAATTAGGAGCTAGCTAAGGGTGGTCTTAGGGCGTAGGGTGCTACCACCGGTCCTTTCACATTCTGTCTGAAATCCTGGCGTGCAACCATGCTCCGTCCCTCGATTTCTTGCCTGCTGCGATGGTTTATTAGGCCTACAACCTTAAATAATTTTTTCATTTCTATGTATAAGGTAAACTTATGAATTATTGTAAACTCAATGACGAAAGGTTGGAGATCAACCATTAATTTAGGTTATGAATTGTTGTAAACTCAATGACGAAAGGTTGGAGATCAACCATTAATTTAGGTTTATTTAGCTTTTTCAATTAATAGAGAGATTGCCAATACACGCATATTTGGTAAGAGACGAATTTGTGGTCTGGCACTATTGGGAAATGTGATCTTGGCCTATGTGGTGGTAATCGATTGATATAGCATCATATATATGGTTTGAATCACAACTTCATCATTGAAAACAAACGTTTTGTTGGCCTAGTATTTAGTGGCAATTATTGTTCTTTCCTTTGAGATTAATTTATGAGATCTACTACTTTTTTTTTGTTGGGTTTGTTGTGGAAAAATGTATTCTAAAAATGAATGTTGTGGTCCAAAATGTTGCATTATTTAGATGGACGAACACCAATAATTCGTCTCGTCATGCCGACCAAAAACCATAGAAGTCCAAAGTTAGCATTCAATTGGAATCTCAATGCACTAAGTATTATTATTTTACAATTGTTTTTAGCAACATTTTACAATTCTTGGCATGTTGCTATGGTATATTTTGATGGGGGAACACATCCTCTCTAACTTTTTGTTAAAAAAAAAACATTTTGATGCGGATGGTAGCGTCCACAAGCACCCTTCGGTTGCATTGAAAATCTAGTCTCATTTTCTTTTATTTAAAAATTATCTTAATCCAAAACTCCAAGTGTAAATACATTTTTGGAATAGCAAACCAAATAAAAATAACAAAACATATTCCACCAGACGAATTTATTAGGGTACTCTAGTCATTGTGTTTCTGAAGATATTATTTAATTCTTTTTATTTGGTGTGCTATATTAAAATATATTTGCAACTTAAATTTTAGATAAAGATAATTTTTTTAAAAAATAAAAATAAAATATTTTATGGCCATTGTATATACCCCTGTTCAAACTCAACCAATGGAAGGATGCTTGCGTACCCTTCCATCTATATAACACACCAAATAAAAAAAATATAACATATTCTAAACATGTCCAACATCAAATAAAAATAATATAACATATTCTGAACATGTCCAACACCAAATAAAAATAATAAAGAATATTCTAAACATGCCCGAAAGATTTCTTTTGGGGGTACTCTGGTTATTGTCTTGCTCAAAATGTTATTAAATTATTTTTATTTGGTGTGTTGTATTAAAATACATTTGCAACTCAAATGTTAGATAAAATAGTTTTAAATAAAAAATAAAAATAAATTTATTTTATGGCCGTTGGATATAGCCTTGTTCAAACTATAGTTACCGGGGATCGTCCAACTAGGGTGGCGCTCTCACTCCGGAATCCAGTTCCGGCACTCCGTGGCCGGGATCTCAACCGGAACCATTCTAACATAACATTTTGATCATCTCGACATCAAAATGTCAGGACATGAGAAAAAAATAGATTTCAAGTTTTGGAAATATACGTATTTTTTGACTGTCAATTTCAATATTTTCAAGTTCTCATAGATCTGCTCAATCTACAATTTTTTTTAAATTTTAAATTTTATAATTAAAGGTGAAAATATATTTTAAAATTATCACAAGGATTTTCAGTATTAAAACTATATTTTTCGACACTATTTGCCGGTGCGCTTTATTTTGATTGTTTAGAGCCCAGCGGTTTCAATATCACTGACTTATCTGCATTGTTTAGAGCCCAGTGGTTTCAATATCACTGACTTGTCTGTATTGTTTAGAGCCCAGCGGTTTCAATATCACTGACTTATCTGCCTCGAGAAAAGAAAATGCGGTTGTTGGCCTACACCGCAGAAGCATCTGTTGCTTTCTATTGTAAGGTTAATTTATGAGACTTA